AGGTAGATAGATTTATATAGATATAGGTAGGTAGATAGATTTATATATAGGTAGGTATATAGATTTATATAGATATAGGTAGGTATATAGATTTATATATAGGTAGGTAGATAGATTTATATATAGGTAGGTAGATAGATTTATATATAGGTAGGTAGATAGATTTATATAGATATAGGTGGGTAGATAGATTTATATATAGGTGGGTAGATAGATTTATATATAGGTTGGTAGATAGATTTATATATAGGTAGGTAGATAGATTTATATAGATATAGGTAGGTAGATAGATTTATATAGATATAGGTAGGTAGATAGATTTATATAGATATAGGTAGGTAGATAGATTTATATAGATATAGGTAGGTAGGTAGATAGATTTATATAGATATAGGTAGGTAGGTAGATAGATTTATATAGATATAGGTAGGTAGGTAGATAGGTTTATATAGATATAGGTAGGTAGGTAGATTTATATAGATATAAGTAGATAGATAGATTTATATAGATATAGGTAGATAGATAGATTTATATATATAGATGGATGGATAGATGGATAGATGGATGGATAGATAGATAGATAGATAGATAGATAGATAGATAGATAGATAGATAGAGATGACTTTGTGCAGACAATACTGGGGGTCTCAGCATGATAAAGTAGGATAACTAACAATATGTAGATATAGATAAATGTTTTAAATCTCCCTTTAATTTATAATTAATCAGACATATTTCTTCTCTTCTCTTTCAGACTGGCATGGCGTTAACATATGATCCTGCTGCAATGCAGAATGGGTAAGAGTTGGACAGTCGGTCTGTCCTTGGCACCACCTAACACTCGCTTCTTTTGGCTCATAGAAACTGAATCGATACCGCTGCCATACATAAAGATTAATGTAGTGTCTGCACTTTGTTACTGTTTGATTAAGGAAATCAATATGGACTCCTGGTATTGGCGTTCATTGGTGGGGTTGAGTGAAAAAATGTAGAGCAGATAGGAGAAACTGTATGTGTTTATTTGTTTGGGTCGTCATGAATGCCTGGGTTCCTGTGTGTCTTTATGTCATAACTTAATGGGGCTTTGGAAATAAATGACCCATCAGCGCGTTTTATTTCTCCCCACTTGTCTGAGACAGGAAGGCGAGTTTAAAGCCTGCTCCCTCCTCTTTATCTCCCTCTGGCCTCAGTCATTCACAGGAAACTCCTCAATCCCACTTCCTAAACCACTTATCCCCCAGTGACTGCGAGTCAATCTCAGCCAACAAGCATCCCTCACTTTATACAGCCTGCCACGTAAATGCTGTTTGCTACAAATCTGCCAAATCGCAATCCCACAGATATTTTTGTGACTCAAAAGCTCACCCTAAAAGCAATGTTTTATCATTTAGACCTTCGCGCTGACATTCAGTAGGATTCTTGAAAAAAATGTTTTAAAAAGCAGAGCAGACAAGGAAAGAAAAGCAGTTAATGATGGGGAAGAACAGAGTGAATCAGCCAGCAGAAGTAGATATTCCTTAAAAAAAAAAGTTTAAACAGAAATGCTTCACATTTCTCATGTTGACTCATGGTGTTATACTGTTGAAACGCACAAAAAAAGGAAAAAAGAGCTGATTATGAATGTCCTAAAACAGAGTACGCCTATCCTGGAGCAAATTGGATATAAAAGGAGGGTGTTAAAAAAAATAACTGCAATGTTTCTTTGTCCCATCTCAAATGAACACATTTATTAATTGATTTGCCAAAAAAAGCTCCAGTTTTTGGAAATATTCCCCTTTGTTGTATTTGCAACTAAAGATTAATTCCTTTCTGTTGTAATAAGAAAACTACTTGAGCTTTGAAGACCAACGAAAACCAAAGAAAGCTCACCGTTACATTCAGGTTACTCCCAGAGTTCTTGACCTTTGCCCTTTTGCTTTTGTACTGCTGTAGTTGAAGTAATAAGGAAGTAGAAAATATTACTGTTAAACTAAAATATAGTCCCTCGTTTATTACGGGTGTTAGGTTCCAGCCACCCCACCCCCCAGCGATAAGTGAAAAACCGTGAAGTAGGGACGCTATGTTTATTTTATTATTTATATATTTTAAGGCTTTAGAAACACTTCCCACACTAAACTCTTAAACCTACGTCATTTTAAGAACATAAGTATACGTACTGTATATGTAGCTACTAAATTTTACTTACCATCGTGTCCCTGCTCAAAGGTCCTCCTTGGCCGGTTGAAAGAGATGGAAAAAGTCTTGTTGAGTTTCAGACGGACCACCAGAGCATAAGCCGCGCGTTTGCTCGGAGGTCCACGTGGGCGGGCTACCAGACCTCAAGATTCACCGCTGGGTCTTGAGTTCTGGTTCTGTTCCGATTCGGTGGGTTCAGTGTGGCTTCTCTACATCCGCTGGGCACCGATCAGATCAAACTTTACCTCTGTTTGTTTTTCAACAGAAGGAAACGGGGCTTCTGGGCAGGGCCCTGTTGCCTTTTGGGAAATGTGGTCATTATGAATGGGAATACAGTGGAGGCTTAATGAGAGAAAACTATAATCCGAAGTATTTAATTTTTTTCATTAACTTTTTTATCGTACAGTACTATATCCAGTACTGTCCCAATCACATGAGTAATATTAAAGTTACAATCATGTATCCTGTACAAATTTTTTTTTGTACAATTTTATGGACTGTACATCCACAAACTGCGATAAAGCGATTTTGCGAAAGTCGAACTGCGAAGTAGCGAGGACCTACTATTTTTTTTCTTTGTGCCTGTGTATCTCTCATTCAATGTCCCATTCTCTATGAAGAATATATAATGTAATGTCTGAATATCATCTATCTGCTGTATCTGCTGTCCCCTTCTCACAAGATTTTGACTTTTTGCCCCCCCTTTTCCCCCCGTTCTCAGGTTTTACTCCTCGCCTTACAGCATCGCCACCAACCGCATGATCGCACAGACCTCCATCACGCCCTTCATCGCTGCTTCCCCTGTTTCCACATATCAGGTGAGCCATATTGCTCTGTTTATGGGTATATTGCAGTCTGCGTGAGTTATAAGGAAGTTGTCTGTGTGTAGGGGGATGTGAGATAAGGGATGGGCTGCAAAAACAGCATGAGGTTCTCCCCTCTTTTCTCATTGTTTCTTCACAACTCCAGCTGTTCTTGATGACATCTGTTTCGTGGGAGGTAAACACAACAGGCATACAAAAACAAGCATCATAAAAATGAGTGCTCAGAAAAAGCTGACGGGAGAAAACAACTCACATCGACAATCAAAGTGTCTTGGGAAAGCAAAGATTCATTTTTATCCCCACTTTCCCGACCTTGTTACCCTTTTTCAGCTGCTAATGCATTTTTTATTGTATTTTTATTATTTTATTTATTTCCACCACCTCCAACACAATCTTTTCCCTCTTTCAGAGTAAATTTTCCACATTTCTCACGCCTGTGATCTGTGGAGTAATGCAACGGAACAGAACAGCAACGTAAAAATTGGCTCTGTGATATGTCGGGAGCATCAACCATTTTCCGTCACTGCACATTTCACACAACACCCTTTGCTAAATCCAAACATCAAGAGGCTCTGCCACTGTGCCCTCCAGCTCCGACACTATCGTTTAACATCGGCTCCGTTTGGTATGCATAGACAGACGGATGAGGGGGGTGAGCAGGGGAAAGGAGATGGAGGGGTGGGAAAATTTTACAGACTGTGAAAACGATAACTTTAAAGAGGAATAAGGATCACTCAGGTGGCAGCAATGGCGATAACCCAGGCGGATGGACAGAGGAGAGATGATGCCGGAGGTTGCTGTGCCCGTCTTTGAGGCACGCCTGATTAAAACTCCGGTCCAGTACCTGTGGTGTCAGGGAAAGAAAAGAAGAGGGAAAGTGGGCCAGAGCACGTCTCTAATCCGCTCTCGGAAGGCTTCCCAAATTGATTTATCAAAAACAATGGCCAGGCTTTTGAGGAATATTAATCCTCACTGTTTCAATATCGGGCAGCTCTGCCGCCGCCGCTTGTAATATTGCCCTTCAGCCAGTCACGGCGGGAAGGTGAGTCCTTCATCTTCTGAGAAAGAACAAAGAGACACAGAAAGAAGACGCGCTCTATGTCGCTTCATACGGACAAAAAGAAATAACTTCTTTTTATGATGAAAAGTTTTTGCTTTTGTAATGAAAATCTCTGGGTGTACAGATATCATGGCAGGTTCTATTATCTTTCATATTTTTGTTGAGGTGATATATTTTGAGCTTTATTTATCGAACCAGGAAATTATCCACACAATATGACCTTCAGTCCTCCTGTGTTCCTATTAAACTGCCCTCTGTGAGTTTCAACGAGGACTGGCTTTGTCTCCTGGAAAAACTGCTTTGATGATGCGTGCGGCGTTCCAGACCGGATCACCACCAAGATTTCAGCTGCAGCGTCGCCAGCCAGCCGTGGCCTGGTCTACATCAGTGGCTCGCTGGCTGGCTGTTTGGAAGTTGAGCTGGCTGGCTCGCTAACTAGCTAACTGGCAGCTTGTTTGGCTTCACGTGTGAACGGTTGGACGGGGGGCCAACTGGCTAACCATGCGGCCGAACAACCGGCTTTTTTGGATTATTGGCTGTTTTTAAATGTAATATAAGCTGTGAGGTTCAGCCAGAGGCAGACAGCTTCTTCTTGAGCACATTTTGTCTCTTACTTGACATCAATGTGGCTTTTTGTATTTACTATTTGTTGTAATTGAGATTAAGTTGTTCCACTTCATATCACGTTGTCCCCCGCTTATTCTTATCAGTTTGGTGCTTGGTTTTTATTGTTTCCTTTGTTTAAATAGTAAATTTAGTTAAACTTCCAGATGCAAACATCCACCTTCAAGTCTATTTGTTAGTATCCTAAGACTTCATCATAACAGCATTAAAACTCATCTCACCAAACTCTGGTTGAGATGGATTCTTCTTAGTTTATAGTTTATTTATTAGTCATATGCAGGTCAACGATGCAATGAAATGCTCAGGACGAGAAGAACCATCTCGACTCGCCCCAAAAAAACAGAATACCCAATCATGCAACAAAAGTACAAAACAAAGCACTTAAAAGTAAAAAAGAAATACATCTACAAGGTGCAAAATAAATATAGTAAACAACATAGTAGAATAGAACGGTGCAAGTAGGATGATTCAGTACAAGTACCTCACAGGCAGTAACACTGCTTAAATGCACATACACGTTGCACACAACATACACCACACAGGTTGTGCGATAGGACACAGCAACACTGAGATGAACTGAACCACGATGACAAGGCAGCGACACACATGATACAGCCACATCGTGCAGCCGCAATAAACATATTAGGTGTCACAGATGTGACTCAGTTCGGTCGAGCCGGTAGACAGAGAAGTTGTCTGGAGCCACAGCACAGTCGGGGATGGACGGCTCCAGCCATGATTCCGTAAAGGTAAAGACACAACGTGTTCCACTCGCAATAAATTTGTGCGCGCAGGTCATCCAGTCTATTCCTCAGAGACTGAATGCCTGAAGGCAAGACCGAGCGGAGAGGGGGTTTGCTGTGTTGGGTCCTGCACAAAACACTGGCTCGCATCCCTTTCTGTTTTCCTCTTACGGCGCCCAAGTAAAGAAAGGACTCTGGAAAATGTCTGCCGATGTGTCCCCCAAAAGTCAGCCCAAAGTCCCCACTCACTGACGATCGCAACGCCAAAATTGCGTCGCAGTCATGCCCCTAGTGTGGGAGCGCAGTGCATGTGCAAAAAGTCCAAACATAAACAATGAACAAAAAAGTGAGTCGAAGCAGAGCTCTCATCAGTGCTGCCATGCTGCGGCGCACGTTGATGACGAACAACTTGTAAGAAGAGTCTAGTGAAGACATCAGGTTATGATGAAAGCCTTCCCAATGAAAGTACAACTTATACAAATTAACTGGTGCACAGAAAATAACCTTTATTACAAGTTTTCCTGCATATTTTTTTTTAAACGAGTAACTTTCTCATGTAACATGCTCACTTCTGTGAATTGAAAAACATAATAATGAATGAGAGGAGATTCTGAAGCTTGTGAGGACCAGAGAAAATAAAGCAATATGAAATAGTCCTTTTGCTAAACAAATTGAACGTATGTGTGTGTTGTTGTATTTTAACCGTTTTGTGGTAGCATCACACCAAATCAGCTGTTTTATATGTGATCTTGTAGCTTCTTTTGATTAAAGTCTCATCAGTGCTTGCTGAAGTTATTAATCAACTTTGAAGACGCATTTCGGGACCTCTGTTTTAATTAACAGAGATTTTACAGCATTTCTTGTCTTCTTTGATATTGGTCTACCAAAACCTAACTCTGAAAAGCCTCAAGTCTTACAAGCATAAGTATCAAGATTACAGTTCTTTTTATCTATCTCAACTAACAGTGTTCCTCCTCTTCCAGCCACTTTCTCTCAGTTTTAAATGAAGTGATTCAAATCAGTGCCAATGGTTTATTGGTTTTTTTCTTTTTTTGTGAAATTGTGCCTTGTAGTTTATTTTAATCAAGCTAAAAAACAAACTAATGGCACTGAAAACACGTCGACTCAGATCCACTTAAGCAGAAGAAGAAATTCACAAGCCGGTAACGCGGTTTCTTAGTCAGAAAATGCTTAATATAAGTGATTAAAGATAAGCTTTGTATGTGTCAGTCTGCTGTCCCGTTCAGCTGCACAGAACAAATATCGCCGTGTATAAACAAGCAGACTTGGCTGCGTTTTATAGAATATCAGCCTTGTTTAGGTGCAGATCCAAATCACGCATTTGTGTTGGCTCAAAGGATTGATTGCTCTTATAGCAGATTATTCCATGTTTGTCTTTGTTTAATCTAATCGTTTTACCGGGATCTGTGGCCAGTCTGTGTGTTTGTCAGCGACAAGCTGTCTAATTCCTCTCCAGCCTCTCAGAAAGTTCTGTTTGTTCCTCATCCATCCCCTCAGTTTCTTGACACTGTTTCACGTCTTTCTTGTTTTCAATCAAACTTGTAAATTTCTGTCTGTTTAGGTTTTCCCTTAATAATAACTTGGCATGTCTACTTTACAAATCTATTTATTTTAGCTGAAAATAAGCTCTTGTTACCATTTTGTGAGGGATTTTTTTTTTTTTTTTTTGCTCTTAGAAAACCTTTATTGCAACAACATTGGGTCATGGTGCAATATTATACTAATAGATGAGGAAACTAGCTCATGGTTCTGTGCACAAGTCATACTTTTGGCTGTAATGAGGAAGCAGGAGGGGGATTTTCTGCCTCCAGACTTTCAAATTCTTTGGCATAAATTGATCGGTGTAAAGCTGAGCCATTTTAGTGTCATTAAAACCAGAACAATCATTTCAAAATCTCAAGTCTGAAGCGTATTGGAGCACACCGAGTATATTTGAGCAGCATTTATTAGTTTGTGTTGGATACAATTTCAACCAAAGACTTATAAAGGTTTACAATGTTGAACATATTTTATCTGTTTCTGCTCAGGTCCAGAGTACGTCATGGATGCCTCATCAACAATATGTTATGCAACCAACAGTAAGTACTCCAGCATCCTCTGTGCAGCGGCTGTCCTTTAAATCCCACTGAAGCCAAACTTAGTTTAAAACTTGAGTTGGCTGAAAACTTTACATCTCTTACAACCGAGGTTAAAACATTGTTAGAAAAACTTTTTCAAAGGGTGTTTATTGTTCTCAAAAGAGTGAAGAGTTTTTTTCACTCAAACAGATTCTGGCTAGAAAAAAATAAAATTGATGCTGTTTTTGTCCTTCAGTTGTTACATCCAAGTTGTATGAAGCACATAATCCAGTTTTGATGAGGTGTTCCTGAAGGTGCAGTAGCATCTTGCTGGGCTGTGATTTGGAGACTACTGGTATTTGGCGACTCAAACTTGATGCAATATTGGGGGAAAAAATGGGCAAATTTCAGTTTGTCTCACTGAACTCTGTGACCAGCGAGACCTACAGCCGTGTTCACTGCAGCCAATTTTGAAAATCCCAGCTTATTTTCTGTGCACAACTTGCAAAACTCAGTGTGGTTGTGCACATTGTTTCATTGCGCACTTTTGCCAACATCGTACCCACCTCAGCCTTTTTTGTACCCACATTGGCAGCCGTCCTCATGTTTATTATTAAAGTTACTGTACTCTTCTTCTTTTGGCTTTTCCCTCTTCAGGGGTTACCACAGTGAGTCATCCTCCTCTATCTCACTCCAACTACCTCCATGTCCTCCAACTGCAGCCATTTATCTCTTCTTTTTTTTTTTCCTGGCAGCTGCATTTCTAACATCCTTCTACCAATATACCCACTGTCCCTCTGGACATGTCCAAACCATCTCAGTCTGGCCTCTCTAACTTTACCTCCCAGTTGTTCAACCTGTGCTGTACCTCTGATGATCTCATTCCTATACTTATCCATCCTTGTCACTCCTAAGGAGAATCACAACATATTAATTTCTGCTACTTCCAGTTCTTTCTCCTGTCTTTTTGTAAATGCCACTGTCTCCAGACCATGCAACATAGCTGGTCTCACAACTGTCTTTTAAACTTTAAAGCTTTTGTGCTACACTTGAAATGAAGTCGAGCATATTTGGACTAGTTTGTTTTAAACATGGACATGTTTTCCCAGAGGACAGCTCCCAAGCATGTGTCAAAATACAGCTCCTGCACCCTTGAGACGAGACTCCCGTTTCAAAATCTGTAGTGGTTCAAAATGCCCACATCAACTTTGTGACAGTAACAAATGTCAAAGTTAAAAATTCAAGCGACAAGACAGCAATCCTCTTCCACTCAGGGAAATTAAGAACACTCCTGAAAGTCAAAGCATTCTGGAGATCTTAAGAATACTGTTCACCAACTTGTCTTCACCTGTCACAAACCAAACATATACAACCTTACCATACCATACCATTTTATTTATAAAGCACTTTAAACAGCGACAGGGCCAACCAAAGTGCTGTACAAACAGAAACAAACAGGCAAAGCACACAGCAACACATAACATAACGTAAAATCAAAATATAGAAACAAAATAATCGCAGATAATAACATAATGACTAACACTGTGTGATGCATACAGGACCAACACAAATCATAGTGTTGAAAGCCAGGGAATAGTAGTGGGTTTTTAAGCAGGATTTAAAAACTGTGAGGGAGGGGGCCTGCCTGACGAGCAGAGGTAACTCATCCCAAAGTCTTGGGCCTGCGACAGAGAAGGCCCTGTCACCTCTGCGCTTAAGATGGGTTCCTGGAACTGTGAGAAGCAACTGGTCCGCTGACCTCAGAGAACACGGTGGGACATATGGCTGCAGCAGATCAGTGAGATAGGAGGGTGCAGAGCTGTTCAGCGATTTATAGACATACAAAAGTATTTTGAACTGAATACGAAAGTGAACCGGTAGCCAGTGCAGGTAGGCCAAAACAGGTGTAATGTGCTCTCCCTTGCCTGTATTAGTTTAAAATCGGGCTGCCGCATTTTGGACCAGTTGCAGTCGTGCAATGGAGGTCTGACTGATACCAAACAGGAGCGAGTTGCAGTAATCGAGCCTGGGTGTTATGAATGCATGTGTTACTGTCTCCATGTTATTTTTGGACAATATGGGCTTCAGCTTAAACAGCCGCCTCAGCTGGAAAAAAACAGGATTTAACAATCATGTTTACATGACTGCTAAGTTTCAAGGAAGGGTCCATTATCACTCCCAGATTAGTGACTCTGTTTCTCTAACAGGGCTAGAGCGGAAAAGTCAATGCAGTGGTTGATGATTGTGTCGTTGAGAGGAAACAACATGACTTCAGACTTCTTCTTATTGAAACTTGAGAAATTTAAAGCCATCCAGTCTCTGTTGTCAGACAGGCAGTCAAGCAGAGGGTGAATAGAGCGTGTACCATTGTGTCTTGGGGGAAGTAAATTTGACAGTCATCGGCATAGAAGTGAAAGGATATGTTGTGTTTCCATAAAATAGCACCTAGTGGCAGCAGGTATAAAGAAAATAGAAGGGGACCGAGGATGGACCCCTGCGGTACCCCCCATTTAAGCGCTGCTGATGCTCAACTAAAATCTTTGATGTTGACACAAAAGGTTCTGTCAGAGAGGTATGATCTGAACCACTTGAGGGCTGACCTTGTGATGGTTCTTTTATTGTTTTAAAACTTCAAGTTTCATAAAGGGACTCGTATATGTGGAACCAGAACAGTAAACAGATTCTAGATCTTCAGGGTTACCCTCCCAGATATTAGAAATAAAATATTAAACAGATTCATCTTAATGATAATACAGTCTGTAATAATAATGTCGAAGCACTGAAAGTAGGGATGCACAATATTATCGGCATGGTATTGGTATTGGCCGATATTACCGTTAACGTTCAATATCGGACATTCTATCAAAATAACTCACGGATTTTGCATATCATATGGCTGTTGCTGAATATATGTCACCAGCTCTTACAGCTGTGACACTTTTTTTTTTTTTGCAAAAAAGCCTAAAAAAGAGGACTATGTTCTGATAAAGGAAAGCATATTAAAAATATCTGTATCGGTTAATGGCCAAATAAGTTTTAACATATCTGCATATCAGATATCGGCCAAAAATCCAATATCGTGTATCCCTAATTGAAAGGTAAAAAGCCTTGTCTGTAACTGCTTACCTGATTAAAAAGTAAAGAAATCCTGATGATTATTTACTGTTTGTTCATCATCAGCACTTTGTCTGTGCTTCAAGTGTCTAAAAGTCATAAAGTATTATTATTATTTGCCTTAATGTGTAGCTCTATTGGTTTAGAGATTCTCCTGTGAGTCCTGCTGCTCGGACAATGTTCAGTCAGGTCATCAGGACGGTTTCTTTTTTTTTTTTTGCTGAGATGTTTCGTCCTTCATCCAAAGGACTTCTTCGTCTGAGGAGCCACCAACAAACTGAATGCCACAAACAGTACCCTCCCGTAGTAAAAAAAAAAAAAAAAAAAAGCATTGGAGAAAACTGCTATTCAGAGAAATTTTTGAGTTTGCCTATTAAAATTGGAACTCCTTTTAAAAAAACCACTATGTGCCAAGCAGCTTCAGCTACATTCTGGTGAGTCTCATTAATAACCTCTTATAAAGATTTATATTTTCAGCTTTAATACATGTTGAAAAAATCTCATATTCAGTCTTTTTTATTCTTTCACTAAAACCTGTTTTGGTTGACATAAATAAAGCCCTTTCTTTGGGTTTTATAAAGGATGGACTTTAAGGTTTATTTTTATATAAAAGCTGTCATTTATTGGTTGCATGTATCACAACAGTAGGTAGTTTTTGGTTTCATTTAATTGGATATTTTTTGTTCACTTTCCTTGTTTTGTTTAAAGGGATGTTTTTAACTCTCCTGGTACATTTCAGCCTATTAACCCTACATGCCATGAGCCACCTCTGAGCTACAACAGCAATTCAAAATGTTTCGCCTCACAATTTGTCTCTCTAATGTTATTAAAATGAAGCACATTAGTAGTTATGTAAATTGCTTCAAAGTTGTGCATTTTAATAGATCCTCGCATTATAAATGTTCCTGTTTAGTTGTTTAGAGCTTTAGAAACATTTCAAAAGAGGTTTTAGCGTTTGCTTGAGGCTTTTTGTTGCCTCTAAAGCACATTTGTTGTGTTTTATTCTTTGCTGTTTTCAATTTATTCACAGAAAAACAATAAACGCCAGATAGGGGCTAATATATTTAATTCTTTACATCTATTAAAAGAGGTCACTTTATCACAGCCACTGTGAATAGTGGTAATAAGCAATAATTTATTGGAGAGCCATTTAGAAAGCCGTAGAATGTTGAAGTGCTCTGGTATTATAAAACACACAAAAAAAATTGCTCCACGAGTATAATTCTGTTGATGCAGAAAATCATTTTCTGTGGAAATAATTTATCACCATTTTATTTATTTTTTTGCTAAAGTGACCATTGGTGATTCATAATTTATGCCATGCTTTAACTTAAGTCTGGACTAACAAGCAAGTGGATAAGCATCTGGATGACCCAACGACCTATTAATTAAAAAGTTTTGTCGTACAGTGTGAAACAGCTATTTATATGATAAAACAATAAAATCAATCAGTCAGCTTGAACAAATGTATATAACACAAAGAAAAGAGACATTAGGACATGGTATTTAAAAATTAATATTCATTTTAGTCTAATTCAGGGCTTTAAGCGGATGTCTCACTGGACTGCAACTAGTTGGTATGATTTCATGAAGGAGACTCTCTGATGTCTCTTGAACATCTACTAAATGTCTCCCGAATGTCTGTCTACTAAATGTCTCCCGAATGTCTGTCTACTAAATGTCTCCCGACAGTCTTCCGGATGTCTTCCGAATGTCTCTTGAACATCTACTAAATGTCTCCCGAATGGCTCTTGACCATCTTCCAGATGTCTCCTGATGTCTCCTGAATGTCTCTTGAACATCTGCTAAATGTCTACCGAATGTCTCCAGAA